CCCGCCACCGCTCCAGGGCCTCCGCCAGGCTGGACTCGGGGTCCGGCACCGCGTGGTCCACTGCAGAGGCACAGCGGGGCACGGGTTGGGCAAGGGCCCCTCGCCGGGCCACCCCACCACGGCCCTGCTAGCTGCCGGGCATCTCCGCCATCCTGGGGTCAGCTCCGAAGCAGTCCCCATCACCTCCGCAACATGCCTGGCCTCCTCCAAGTGCATTTATCGGCAGGGAAGCACACAGAGCCTTTGCTTAACGGCCCCTGGCAGAGCACCAGGAGCTTTCACAGGCCTCTGCTGAGAAATCAGCTGGGCGCTGAAGGGCTTGTGCTTCCTCACCCCACTCCCACCCCATTAACACACAGCCTCCTCCCACCCTGCAGTACTAATGCACCTTTTACTGCCCACCAAGTAATCCCCACGCCCTGCCACAGCCCCTTTCACACAACTTATTTTTTTGGCCTATGGGACAAGGAGAACTGGTGGGGGCAGGGTAAGAAGCCCAGTCCTTCACTGGAAGGCTCAGCAGTTGCCCGCGCACCCCAGGAAACCCCACTGTGCACACAGCTGTGACCACTGCACAGCAGTAAAACCCGGACCTCAAACCTGGGTGCAGCCATGGCCTTCGCCAGGGAAAGACCTCAAAATTCCCTTTCCTTTTTCGTCAGCACCGTTTATTTCCGAGCAGCGTGGGATGCCAGGACAATGATCTGTTCCTCTGCTCAGAGTCATCTGAGCATCATGCTGCCCTATTTTTATTTAACAGGGAAAAAAGTTATGCCATTGCTCCTTTTTGAGGGTCCCGGAGCACCAGCAGCTGCAGACAATGAAGCACTGCAGAACACAGGATCTACAAGGGCAAGAGGTCCCATACAAACGACCTGCCCCACCACTTCGTTATTACTAAGGATCCCAAAGATTCATCCCAATCCTCACCCCCTAGACTGCACCGATAGAGATCACAGAAAAGATGAGCACACTGTCATGGACCTTTAAAACAAATAAGACTGAGAAAATCAAAGAGAAGAAGAAATAACTGGGCAATGTTCCACAAGTGCTGGGGCTGTCATGTACAGGAGCTGCCTGCTGCACTCACTGATCATGGTGGTTCCACCAGCCAGGGCCGCCTTCGTTCCTTGGAAGAAATCATCCACAGCTGTCATCCCCTTGTATGGCATCTGCAGGCGAGTGTGGACATCGATTCCTCCAGGGATCACCATCTTCCCATTGGCTTCTATGGTTTTGACCCCTCCAGGGACAATCAGATTGTCTCCAATCTGCCTGATGAGATCACACCAAGATGGTGAGCCATACACGAATGAAAACCAGCCTCAACACAGCC